TGGCTATCAAAATTAGGCATAACTATGTGGAAGTTACTTTTAACGTTTACATTAACTCAAGTTTTAAGCAACGTCCTAAATATAATTCTAATCGCATTCTAAGTACATACATAATTCTTTGATTGGTTGTCAGAACAAACTTTCATTCAAACTCAAACTTTTATTTGCTCTCTAATTCGATATTAAGGAGGGAAATATGGGGGTTCCATTCCAGGAGTTTTAAAAATCGGCGATTTTATAGATATTAATATGCTTTTTTTCGATTTCCATTTTGCATTTCCGTAAGTCCGCCAGTCGTGCTGCCATCTTGAAAAAATGGCGGCCAACAAAAGATTTTTACAATATCTCTTTTCCAACTGTTAAAACTGTTCAACTATCAAGTTGTTTCGCCGCGCGCCAAAAACGAAATATATTTTACGGTGTATAAACTTACATATTCATTTATTTACTTAATTACATATACTACAAGTACATACAAAGTAAGTTTGTTATTAGTTATTAAACGATTTATTTGTCATTTAGAGTTATCAACAGTTCCATAGTTCAATATAATTACTACTCATTAATTTTCTGCTATTGCAAAATAAACTCATCATTGACACTTGACACTTTTTATAGTACAGAACCTACTATAGAAAACAAATAAAGACTAACATATATCAATATGATATTATTTGTTTGATTGCCTTGCATTAGTTCCAAAACTATTGATCCGATCTGACAAATCTATACTTTAATTTTCTAGAGCAACACAAGTTACTATTTGTTCACATTTTTTGCAGTATCGGGTCCTACGGAAGAGACTTTATTGACGTGATTTTGACTTTATTCTAAAGAGAGAGGCTTTTATTTAGAAGTTAACACATTAACCGCCATGGGGGGTCAGCAATGACCGAAGTTAGCGGAGGATTTGCGTTCAACAGTTTTCTATTCGCAGCTTTAAGCCTTAACGCATGATGATGACGTTTTATTCCTATAACACGTAAGTACATATTCAGGAAAATCATTTAAATTGGAACTGAAATTCATACTATGTGCCAGTAACTAATCAAATTTTAAGAAACGATTCACTTTTCTTTACATAAAACCTTACGTGTAATTTGTAAATAGGCACAAAAACAAAGATGGCATTCTAAAAAGAACTTCCTATAAACAAATAAGTGGTTCAGATTATTCCGTTATTTCATCATCATCATTATCAACAGTCTATAAACTCACATACCATACAACTAACCATAGGCGTCTTCTCGCACGGAGAAGGTTGAACCATTAATCACCATGGTTGCTCAGTGCAGGTTCGCGATTTCAAACTTATAATTGGAAATTATAAGTCCAGGTTTCCTCACAATGTTTTTCTTCACTGTTTGTCGGTGGAGTCTAGATAATGTTAGAAAGTATGGTGGTTTCAAATCCGCAGTAATATCAATAGATAGATAGCTAACTATATGAAGTAATTTGTCAAAATCCAAGTAATATATTATCTTATTTGTATAATTTCTTAGGATTACGGACATAGGTAGGTAAGTGGTATGATAATAAATTATTGTATTTGTTACACTATTACAAATAAATGTTCGATTAGTCATTGATTTTAAGGCGTATCTGTGATAAGGGAGCGTAGACATTTTGTTATTACAATTGTAGTAAACAAGAAATTACAATATAAATATGGTATTATAGTCAGGCAAAATGTTTACTTATATTTGTTAAATTAATCTTTATAGATTTTACTATCATTTTTCACGTTATCTTATAGTTGCTAAGATGTAATAATGGAATCTTATTTCGTAAGTCTGTTTGTTGAAGGTCCCCTAATATTTATTCCAGAACCAAATGCTTTAATTACATAACATAACATCACGCCTTTTATCCTCGAAGAGGTGCACATTACGGCATTTAATACCACTGCATCATGTAACACCTACTTTTCTCTGTTTTAGAGATGTTGTGAGTCCCATGTCATAGGGGGTGAACCTATTGCCATATACCGGGCTCAATACTAGACTTCGTGCTACCACGGAGAATTTTTAAAAACCCCAGTAATACTTTGCCCGACTTGCGACCACTCGGCTAACGAAGCATTGGTTAATTATTATGAACATATTACTGCACTTTTTTAAATCTAAAAGTTAAAAGTTAATTATAAATCTTTCTCCATTTAATGCGACCAAACCACTCATTCGAATATTCAAATTAGAGCTGTGATAGTCAATTATTTTCTTTGTTTACCATGTACTCCAAAAGAGAGGTGACAATACTCTGAATGACGAACGAATGTGAACGACATGTTCACCAAACATTGAGTAATTAGCAAAGACTAGGTATTAACTTCGAATTGATAAAAAAGAAAGATTATGATAACAAATAGGTCAAGTACATTCTGAATTGTGTTTATAACCTTACCAAATCCACCAATAGTATACCAACTAATAAACGTATTATTTGTGAAGCCAAATTGTAAAATTCATTAAAATAACAAAGGCATTTAAATAAAATTCAACTAGTAGATAATTATTTCTTAAATAATGTCATATCATTTACAAATTTTTAATTGTAAGCCATTACTGAAAGTTTTGACTAAGGATCAAGAAAACTCATAGATTTCAGACAATGGTGCCTCAATTGTTACCGGATTCTTGACTGATAAGCTTAAACAATTATCTACAACATTCCGTACTTAGATCTATCGTAACATACCTCAGAGATTGTTATTTCAAACGACAATTGTAACACTTTTTAACACTAAACATCTAACGCTGTTTGCGTCGCCGGCGCATTTTCCACTAAAATTTTTATAAATGCACTGACACCATAATTTTACACAAGAATTTAGTTTTAAAACGTATTACAAACGACACAAAGGCGTCGCAAATACACACGCGAATAACTTATTCCAGAAAACTATATTGATAAGTCAGCATATTATCTTTACGATTAGATATCAGAGACTCAAGGATTGATTCACGCCGTACAATTTGTTGTACAAACAGCTGTAATGGCGGGCTTGATAATTATTGCAATTAATGACAGTGTATACTGATTTATGACCACACAGACTCGATTGACCTAAAGAACTTAACAAGTAAGGCTGAATTTGTGATAATCTTTTCATATTTATTAGATAGCTTTTGCCCTCCAATTCTTGACGTATGGATACCCAAAGAAATATGCATTTAACGCTATCCAAAATGTTGACTATATCGCTAATCGCTATCTATCCCACAAGTGATGCGACATGAATCATCTTTTTGAAAGATAAAAAGATGATCAATTACACTCCACATCGACAGGCGGATCTAAATTGAAGTATCTCTCATAATATTTTAAGCTCATCACAAGAAATCAATTGATTGTTTTCTCCTGCACTGCATGAATTAGCTAATGAAAAACGAGACTAATTAATCACGAAATTGAGATTATCAATTCCTTGAAGTACTCATAATTCACAACTCGATTGAGGTGAAGAGTCCGTTCATATTACATAAGAATAATTATCTCAAGTGTCTGGTCTACTAGACGCGGAAACTTGTGAATGGCCATGCTTTGTATATACTTTGCAATGTTGGCTTTGTGTAACTCTAATTTTTGAAAAAATAATCTTACCATTTAATTTAACTCATTGAGTACCGTCATTATAGACACAATTACAGAACAATAGGTTGCGGTCACCGGTGTCCTCGCGGTGTTCGACAGTTTAATATTATGAATGTGAAAATTTGTTAGTATGTGTATATGTTTGTTAAAATACGTTCAATCACGTGAAACTGCTGAAGGTATCGAGATGAAATTTGAAACAGGGATAGATTATGGTCTGGAATAACACATTGGCTTCTTTTTATCCCACAAAATGGCGTACGAATGCCGCGGGCAGAAGCTAGCTAACTATAAAAAAGTATAATTTATAATTAAACGTAGCCACCTAATCAGTTGTACTTAAGTGAGATCTTTATGACTGTGTTATTTGTAAGGAACAAGAAAGTAACAAGATGACAGGAATGCATTAGTCTTAAGTTCTCCAATAAGGTAAATTAGCATCGTTTAGTTATAACGATGACACGCTAGGTGACATCGCAAGAAAACTTCATAAATATGAAAAACATATGGATCGTCACTCAAGCTATGAAGCTGATGAACATCACGTCTTTTATCTCCGAAGGGGTAGGCAGAGGTATACATTACGGCACTTAATGCCACTGTACAATGTAACACCTACTTTTCACTATTTATGTTATGAGTCCCATGTAATAGAGGGTGAGCCTATTGCCATATACCAGGCACAAGTCCAGACTCCGTGCTACTACTGAGATTTTTTGAAAAACCCAGTAATACTTTGCCCGACCCAGGAATCGAACCCAAGACCCCTTGCCCGGCAGTCGCACTTGCGACCACTTGGCCAACGAGGCAGTCTATTATTTAGAAGCTGATGTGAATATAATAATTACAAATTATGTTGTTGATGGCCATTCGCATGTAATTATCGATAAACAATATTTATCAGGGCAACTGCGGGTAAGTGAAAGTTATCTGTTTCTTAGTGATCATAATAATTATGTCAAGCTTGTAATACCTCCTGAATATGATAGGTAACGAATTTCTAGAATAATCTGTTGTTACTACCGGTGAAAGGAAACATGAACTGAGAGATTTCAGGACAATGATTTTAAATAAAATAGTCTATGAAGATGAAGAGAAAAAGCCTTGGGTCTGGTAGCCTCATTACATCCTAGTACCGAGTATAGAGTTTTCTTGTCCCCTAAACAAGCCCGTTATGCTAGGGCCCGCTTAGACTAGGACTGGATTGGCAATCGAAATCCTGACTACACGCTTAGTACGATACTGGAGAGGCGCCAGGGTAAATAATGAACAGGAACAAAAACCAGCAGGGTGACCCTTAAAAACCTATTAATCGTTATTTGCATGGGGTATAGAATCTATTTAAAGAACTCTAGAATTCCTGCTTACTAATATTACATTAGAAGTATGAAATAAATAGTATGTACCTGCAAGTATCCTGTCTATAAATAGTGCTCTGACCAATGGAACTGCTGTACGTAGGTATCCTATGGAGACTGCTCGAAGGGTATATTTGAGGTGGCCTTAGAAACCCGCTACCACTCAGTGCCACACCGAGCATAGGGGTGTCAACCACAGAGCTCTCGAAAGCACTCGTTTCATCCGTCTCCTCCTCAATAACTCCTGGTTTGTAGAATATTTTGCCGGCTGACAGCCCTGGCTTTGTCTTTCCATCTTTTTGTTCTTCATTCCGAGATTGCATTTCATAAGACGAAGCCGCTTCCGTCATTGTTTTAAGGTTAACGCTTACTGTCACAATACTGTCCTCACATATTTTCTAATGGCAGCCATTTTATTTAATGCGTGTTTCAACTTCTTTATCTGTCTCATTTTAATGTTTTGATGTTTCGTCTGCATTTGTTGTGATACCTGGAAAATAAATATTTTTGCAATAAATAACGCGATTAAAAATAATAAAAATTAGTTAATTGCGTGTTTATTATTGAAAACTGGGCATTTCATTATTTATTACTTTCTTTTATCATTATTATTTTTAATGTTCTGTTTATTTCCTCAATTCTTACAGGTTAGGTGTCTTTTGACGTTAAAAAATAACACACTTGTATTCAAGTATGCGTTAACATCAGCTAAACTTGAATTATAGTTCTCGCAGATCAATGTCTAAAACCCAAGAGTTCACAAGTGTCATGTCAAATTCAATTAGCTGCATCTGCGTTCTTAATTACTCATGTAACTGTGATGTAACAGATACGGCCTAGTGTAATACTATGACTAATTGAATAATACACAATGAGATCCGTAAAAAAGCTATAAGGTCATTTAAGTGCAAAAATACTAGAACACGATTGATCGGATTACGGATAGTAACGCCCTCTGTTATCGAGTAGCTGAACTAATGATGTAAATACTGTGTTGTTATGATTTTAAATATTTCATTTACGTATAAAAACACAAGTTAATATAAAAAAAATTGTAATGCATTTTGGTAATGCGCAAACATTCAAAACTTATTTATTATGAATTCTTACTAGTTGTCAATAGCGCCATCTATTGAAAACACACAACATTAGTAAATTAAAAAAGGTTTAAAACCCCACTTGTACATAAAACACCTAACGGCAAACGATTAAGATTCCTTTTTCTAGATAACTGTAGTTACGGGAGTATGCCTGTTGCATACTCCTGTAACTACCGTTTAGTTGAACACATTCCGTCCTTGTTCTCATTAGGAAGCGGTCGATCTCCAAACTCTTTAGTTCACACCGTAAGTGCCGATAATGAGTCGGATGTGTTCATAACTCCCACAGGAATCGCACGTTATTGCGGAAAACCTCGTATAATAAAATTCCGCGTTTATACCGTTCCTTGTAAGGAGGAAGGCGATGAATTGATAATGATGACTCTTTTATTAGTTCACGCGAACATCTCACATGTTGGGACTATTTATGTGACTTTGAAACTCATTTTTTTTACACGTATGTGTCTGCATCGAGCATTATATCTACTTAGTTTAGATATTTAACACATTAGATGCCGTGTCGGACAATGATGTCTGACACTAGTGGAGGATTAGTTTTTAACAGTTTTTTTCGGCAGTTAAAAGCTTAATTTCATTTCCAAAAGCAGTCTTTGAGTTCGTAGCCAACTATCTACTGACTTTTGAAAATGAATAAGTCGGAAATATATTTCTATCTGATTTCTATTAAGATTCACATACAATTTTATTCATTCTCAGGTTGTAACTATTAGATGAACCGAGGCTTATATTCAGTTTTCACACTGGATGCCTTAAGTCAGAACGTCGAGTACCTATCTATATAGCCAAGTAAAACAAATTGTATGAAGATCCTACAAATCTTTTGCATTATCCTAACAAAGATGATTAGAATTCCTGCGTCACATTATCGTCATAATCTTACATCTTTTAAGTTAGTAAAAGGTCACACGTCAAGGATATTTTGCTCTACAATTCGCGCATCTGTGTATCTTAATACCATACGATTACTGAGCACAAATCCCAAAGATTATTTGTTAATATCCTGGTGTTATTTGGTAAAAAATAAATAAATAAAACTTGTATTCTCATGTTTGTGGTATTGGTCTTATAATTTAAAACGTTGACTCATAGTTGCCAAGTCATTGTCTACTCAAAGTTTATAAGTTGACCGTCGTACTCAGGGACATTTAATTGCTACTTAACCCAGTCCTTAGCAATGGTTTTCGGAACAAAATCGTTACTAAGGAATAGTTTAAGTAAAATGTCTCTGAGTATCGCAGTAAGACATTTACACTAATGAGAATGACATATGAAATAAAAGTTTAAAAATAATTATTTCGTAAACAAAATATTTGTAAGTTCACCAGATATTACCTTGTAAGTAAAAGTAATTACTAAATGCAGATTAACAAAACTTACTTGGCGATATATTTATTATACAAGGGCCAAATTAAAAGTACCCTTTACCCTTAAATACCTTAAGCATGCTTGAGAAGTTAACTGTTGATGAAGCGAAAGAGGTATGTAGAAGTCATAGCAATCGGCGTTCAATAGTCTCTGCCTACCCCCATGGGAGACAGGCGTGAAGGTATGTATGTGTATTTTTAAAAATTTACAAGGATTTGAGTACCGGGTGGCAGAAAAACATAGGGGCAGGTGAAACTAAATAAGAACTTGTAACAAACAAAGACGAACAATCATGGTTCAGTGAATAATAAATAACGTAATGAAGTCGTTATGTACGATTCCCCTTACGATAAACCTGTCAGCACAAAATAGTCAATTCTACAACAGTTTTACGCCAATCTGTAGCGTAAGCACACCGCTTACACGCATTCTGCGAAACGTACCTGTCCACTGTCCATAGATGAAGGTCGCTCTCAATTGCCGGTGTCTGTTCGGTAATTAATAAAGTACCCTGTGGTCGTGTGTCTGTCATATACGTACTTATAAGCCCTTATATCTACTTCTGAATTGTAGATCTGGCTTTTATGAGTTTAGAAGCAATAAGAGCTGCAAGTACACAACTCTAGATATGTATCAGGTAATTACATGCATACGAGTACTTTATTATAGTGTCATATTAGGATTGGTAGAGACAATAAAACAAGTAGGTACCTAACAGTATAATTTTGTAATACCCCTTCACCTACGTTCATCGATTTTTCATTAATTTTTGTCAGTTGAGAATGAGGGTGATCTTAATTAGGCTGCGTAGTACTAATTTATTAAGTACAGACAGTTAAAATTTAGGTATATTCCAGAAATGTTTCCAACTATATCTTAAGTAGGTATATCCATGGCTCGGATGTAGTTGGATGATGGTCACCAGGAAGGTTTCAGTGAGGTAAGAATTCCCATACTTGCTAATCTTATTCCCCAATAAGCTAAGGCATTTTGAAGGTTTGTTCCTGTCATCGAAAAGAAGACTTACAATCTTAGAACACCATTATTTACCTATACTAAATCTTAATAGGTACTTACGTCCTTTAAAATAACTACCATCGCTAGGTCTCTAGGCAAATATAAAATTATGGCTACATTATTATGTGAAGTCTATCTGAAAATATAGGTAATGTTGAGGTTAATCACGTCATAAAACAGTAACTATTCTAAGGTCCCTTTAATAACGATACTAGCTGACAGCTTCAATACTTACTTAGATACCTAATAAATAAGAAAATAACAACAGTATATGATTCTAGGACATAAACAGTTCGTTACAGTCCTATGTTGGACCATCAATGTAAGGTTTTCTATAATCTTTATGGTAACAAATCTGCCTAAAACTGCAATCTCTTAACTCTCTTTTAAACTCTTGTCAGACGTGGAAATTATATTAAACGCTCTCATGTAGGGCAGACCTATATGGTACAGTGATAGTTTCACAGGCTGTTGATTTCATGGGCGTCGGAGCCATTTTCCTAACAAAATGACCCACAAATATCACTTAGGATAATAGTCCATAATAGCAAAATACATAGGTCTAACTAAATCCTTCACACGCCATGGACGATAAATGGTTGAATTGCATTTCATTGTGGTCTAATAATGATCATTATCTCCGTGCTATGGTGCCGTCATAATGCGCGCTATATGATCTTTTATTTAATAACAGGATATTATGACAGCTATGACAAGAGAAAGCTTTTTTTGTTATGATTTGTAGCGTTAGACAAAATAAAATTGAATTACTAGCAATTGAACAAGTACTATCTATCATAGTACTTGTTCAATTGCTAGTAATTCAATTTTATTTTGTCTCTTTTCCTTCTTTTCGTTGCAGTTATTAATCCTTTTTTTATTACAGGTAAACCTTCAAAAGCTACCTCGCTTTCAGGGGAGTAAGATTAGAGAGTGTGGCTTTCTTACCTCACTAAAATCACCCCAGTTGCGACCCTCACCACCGGTAACAGGCACTGGGTCCTCTACTAGACCTAGACTCCGGAGTGCCCTTACGGTGCAAGGTCTTTTACAGGACGTCTCTTAGGAGCACATATTAATGCCTACATCATCTAGAGTTTGACTTACTTTTTGGCAGATTCATCAATTCTTATTACTATTACATAAAATTGAAGTGTTCGTTTGTAATCTCCGAAACTACTAGTCCCATTTCAAAAAATATTTTTGTTATGACTATCCATTTGTCGGGGAAGGCTAAAGGCTTAGTTCTATACCCAAGTACCGTACCCAAGTACCGTAGTGTTCTATACCCAAGACCTATATTGTAATGAAATTACGCTACGGTCAATAGTTGCCAAGCAGAGCGGGTGGAACCGCGCGAATGTTGCTAGTTTGATTATATACTACCTAAAAGCAACCCATCATGTACTCCACGCTTTTGTAGATTTGAACTATAAATATGTCAGTATGAATCATTAATCTTACATTGATTACGCTTCAATCTAACTTCAACGTCAGCTGTTTAAATCTTGCAGTAGATGATTAACCTTAAAACTGCAATTACTTAGTGTCTACTTACAGGCGCAGTGCGGACACAGGTGCATGTCCTCTCACTGAATCTATTATCTTGAAAATTCGAGGTTGTGTCGTAATTTTAACAAACTGTCAGTTGTAAATAACTATGTATTATTATCTACTGTTTCTTATTAGCTGGCTAGCTTATTTTATTATCTAAACTTTATTCATATTTATTCGATATTAATATTTTGGTTTATTTTCTTTGAAATCATTATTTTTTTAAGTGTGAAAATCATCGAATTACGTCTTCCGCCCGTGTGAGGCGAGATGGAGTGTCAGACTCTTACTGACTAAAACCAACCCCGTGCCTGCTCCTGCACTTCGAGCCGGAGCCCCGATAACCTTTAACGATCTCCGCGGCACCATATATCGGCATCAGCCCTATTGGGCCCCATCTGTGGTTTAAATCAAATTATCTTTTATTTTACATTTAAATTAAATTTGTTAAAATTAATTTAAATTAAATTTGTTAAAATTAATTTAAATTAAGTAACATTCTATTTTCTTTATTTCATTAGCTTTGTAAATTTATACACGCCAATTTTATACATACACAGGTGGCTTATAGTGAGATTGAAAACAATTAGGCAATATGCATGAGGTTCAGGAATTTTACGATCGAATCGCACCACTATGTAAACTAATATAATCACATTCAAATATCATAATCATAACATCACGCCTTTTATCCCCGAAGGGGTAGGCAGAGGTGTACATTATGCCACTGTACAATGTAATACTCACTTTTTACTATTTATGTTATGAGTCCTATGTAATAGGGGGTGAGTCTATTGCCATATATATATGGCAATAGGCCCGGTAGGCAAGTGCAATAGGCAAGTGTGCCCGGTATACCGGGCACACTTCCAGACCCCGTACTACTACTGAGAATTAAAAAAACCCAGTATTATAAGTAATATGAATGATCCAGTATTATATGACCCGGAAATCGAACCCGAGAACCCTTGCCCGGCAGTCGCACTTGCGATCACTCGGCCAACGAGGCATTCATTCAAATATTAATGGAAAAAATCCCTTTATTTACTGAGAATATTAATACTAACATCTTAAGACATTTCCTGACAGACAGATGAGACAGGACATGAATAGTTTGATACTTTTTTGCCGAAAAGTGCCGAAAATTTTAGAAGTGCTTCATTCGCTATTTAGGTACCTACATGGCGGAAACTTATGTCTTGTTTTGTAACATAGACTTGTTAAGCAGGATATTTACATATGTAGCTAAAGTTCTGGATTTTCCTCATATTAGTTTAGCGCTAGGATCCTATTAGTAAAGAATGTGACTATAAACTGTGAGACAATTTGCTTCAGTACCATTGCTTTTTGTTAATTTATTTGTAATACCAACTAGTTTTTGCTAGCGGGCTCACCCACATTATCGGAATAAAAGTAGAGGCCCATATCAGTAATAAGTAGGTATGTGTACCTATATTATTCCAAACTGCAGGTTTAAGATACTGAAATAAATATATATTAAAGCTTTTATAAATCAAAAAGTATTTGACTAACAAAGTGGCCAATTCGCTGGCAGGACGTCTATATTGGGACATGAGTCTATTAAAGTAATTGTCATTCAGATAGCAACAGTTAGCTGATCTCTGATTTGTAAAGCCCTTCTACAAATGCCGTATATATACATAAACTCAGTCAAAAGGCAAAATATTTTTTATGGCATTAGCCGGTAAACGAGCATAGGGATCACCTGATGGTAAGCAATCGGCGTCGCCCATGAACACCTGGAACACCAAGGCGTTACAAGTGCGTTAACGGCCATTTGAGGATTGGGGAGGATTCGGTGATTCGGGAGACTGGGGAGGGGTGTGGGTAATTGGGCCCCCGGTTACCTCACCCACACGACGAAACACAACTCAAGCGTTGTTTCACGCCGGTTATCTGTGAGGCCGTGGTATCACTCCGGTCGAGCCAGCCTCCCACACTTTTTTACATTTCTTACATTCCCACATATATTTCAATTAGACTAGAAAGCACTTTTGAATGTCAACAAAAATAAAAATCTATGTGAAATTGTTTACATAACGGCTACTTATGTTTATTAATAGCAAAATGCCAAAACAAAACTTAAGCAATAGGTAATAATCAATTGGTTTTTATAATGACACATCAGTCAATATACTTTAAAAAAATCCAAACGATTGAGTGACATTAGCTTCAATATAACCACTAACCTCTTGCACGTACCTTCCAAAAGAAGGACTTGTCATTACACAAGAGTGCCCGCAATGCACTTGCGCAGCGGTGTCCATGTCCTGCCTGACCGCTTACTATCAGGTGATCTATCTATCTACTCATTTTTCTCCTATTCCATTAAGAAGAGTAGGTACATACAGAAAGAGAAAGAGATGGAAATGGTACTGCAAGGGAGAACAGAGGAGCAGCGTCTTCGTGATCTGTCACCAACATCCAGCTCATACGTGGAATCCGCGAGGAACTCTACAAATAGGAAAAAGAAATTGCAAAGGCAGCCACTAATGATGTAACACGACCACGTCTACGTGGAAGAAGAAGAAAGAAAGACAAAGACAAAAAAGAAGCAATAACCGAAACAACAAGAAGTATAACAACAATAAGGACCTGAACAATAATAAGCCGACCGATTCTTTAATTTATCATGGCGGCTCAACCTACGAATTAATAAAATCCACGTGATTCAACATTGGACGAGCGGCGCGTGCCTGACATCTCACCTACATGGTCCACTTACTTGTATAATCATACGCCGCGGTAAATTCACTGCATTATTTACAAGTTCATATTATTATTTGTCGTGGGAGTTTGGGTTGCTTTAGCTTAAATGCAACTAGTTTTAGCTGTCGTGGTTAATGAAGATTTATTTCAAAGTATGAATATTATGAAATTCTGAATATTCATAACTTCAATATCACTGATGACCAATAGTTTTTAAAGTAATTAAAGGATTATTAAGTTCATCTAGTAAATATAGTAAACGTAAAGATGGTAAGGCAATAAAAAATAATGTAATTGCTGGTATAATAGTTCAAATTTCAACTTCTAATTTCATTTTCTTTTTTACATACCTAAGTTTTTTTATACCTATTCAATATAATAATATGGTGATGACTCGAAGGTGTTTAACAAGGATGTAGACTGACCTCCTGTTAAATAACATCCCATAGAGTCCTGCACGAAATTAATTTTACTAGAAATGAACTTTTAACATACCAATACACCGTTTAGTTACCTACGCAGTAGGTCAATTTCGTTTTTTTTTAATTAAATATAAATATTATTTATCATGTTCAATGGTTTTTATAACTACGTAAATGTTATTTGCTTCAAAGCTTGTACTAGACCTTTACAAAAGAGTTATTTGAATAGACAAATACAATAGTAGCATAGTAGGTGCAACTCAGGTTGCGTACAAATGACTGCATTTGCCCCTAATCTCATTACAAAAATGAATCACTAGAATTTGCAATCGACTTTCTTTTTTAGTTTGTTTGAGTGTTTCTATTCTATTCACATGATCAGAATGAATAAATAAGTAATAAAACACTTAACATTTTCGTGGTCGGTCAAAAATTCTTAGTTAAATTTTCATCGTTTTGAGCCTGAAGAGTTTTTCATAGCCATTTCCAAATCATGAAAATTGCAGTGTCAGATTGCATTTTTTATATAAAGAATGAATGATACTACAATGTATCTAATATATGTCAATAGACGCACACCTATTACATGTGATCTATATATAACACTTATGTTGTAACTTATTTCACGTCTACTTTTGTTTACCCCTTCTGTGAGGAAAACACGATGATTTAAAACATATAGTAGGTTACTACCTACAATATGAATCACCGTTTAGCCCAGACAAGAGTCAGACGTTGTAGGTTGACATCTACTTATTTGTGTAGCTGTGTTACTTATGCTTTCTAGGGTCAGTCCTACAGCTACTGTTAAGAAAATTGCAATTCCCATGCAAATCAATTTTTCATGTTCATCAAGTTACTTATCACTATAAAGATAATACATACCTACAGGTGAATTTTCAAAAGCTCTACTTATACCTATTTGTTCAAAAAATTACCTAATATTATCTTGAGACTGGGGAAAGTTTCATAGCAAATACTGCAAAACGAATCACTCAATAATCTACTATACCACAATAAAAACAAAATACAAATTCCGTTAAACCTAAACTTTGATCCACAAGCGCTTTAACAGACAAATACCAAACCAAAGGTCCCTGTTCGCAATGAAGGTTGATTGTTATCTAAATATTTTATTTGTAACGTGTCATTTACAAAACATGGTTAAATCGCAAATTCATTTTGTTCGGTCATGTCAATACGAAGTTTACCCAAAACCTCGACTTAAACAAACTTATAATTACGTCACGAGCTTAGACAATAACAACTCATATTACTTCTTCCTGAATGGATAAAATGTTGTTATTCTAATATATTGTTTAATACAATGAGATATAGTATATATTTATCTACTAAGTTTATATTAACTCAAACCTAGGCTCAATACTCAAAGGTGCTCCCGTAAGAAAATTCCCATCCTGATCACAGTGCCTATCTATTTTTTCTTCTTTACGTTTGTTGAATTGAAAAGGGAAATATCTTACAACTTAAAATGAGAAAATATTAAAAGCAATACCTATACTTATTTAATGGTAGACATAATGAGAAGGAAATGTCAAAGGACATGAATTTACTTGTAAGAGAAAATATTCTATACCAAGATCAGCTGATCAAAACAATGAAATAAAACGTGATAGTTGGTCAGGCATCAGCTGTTGTCTGTAGATCTATATAGTTGTATACTGTTATATTTGAAATTCAAATGAGACGCGTAATCATGACAAAACCAGATATTCCGATCCCAGTGCTTTTAATATCTAAAAAATGTTATACGGAATCCACCTTGAAATGCGCAACATTTGATCGAATATTCTTTGTGTACAAATATTGTATGACGTATGCCTAAAAACCTGTTGTTTTCTTGTTCTCTTGTACCTTTATTTCTAGCAGTTATTTTATTTTTATTAGCAAAATTTGATACATCATGTATTACCATTACTTTAGTTATTGCATATAAACGCAATATTGTACACAATAATCACCAATGTCAAGGTGGATCTAATAGAGATAGTTGTAATGCGACGTGTTTATTAAAAAGCATCAAAATTGAAATGAGAAAACTTTATTAGTTGGAAAAGACGAGAGGTACATTACAGCCAAATTATTTTCTAGAAAAGGCTTAGGTATAATCCTATAGATATGACTCCTGTTCAGTCACCAAACCAAACATTACCGAATTCACTCAATAACATTCAGTCAAAAAAACTTACCACAGAAATTAGACTCGATCATTTTCAGAGCTTTTCATTACACTTGCAACTTTCACAAATACTATCACATACGCTGGCAACATCGATATTTTCGGGGCGGGGTTACGCTAGGGTTGTCACTGGTGCGGTATGCGTGTGCGCATCGAACGCCGGGAGAGCGTGAACTGGCCTGCTAGCAGCATGTATACCTCGTTGGTACCTATTCCAATTGTGAACCGCGATTATTTAACTGTCCACGCGTTCGGAAACAATTGACTGTGTTGCTTTTAGACTATGCAGATAAGATTTTGCATGTCCAGTTTTATTTATGTAGATTCCTTTTATGGTATTTGGATGTTGGTCTATGTACGAGTCTGTGAGTTCAGTTATTTAGTTTAGATAGCGCTGAAGGACATAGAAAGATGTCAGTAAAATGTGCATGTGGTCTTTTTCTTCATAAATGTTGTCGTACTGTTCTTTATTTGAAAGAGTCTATTAAAACAGCTGAGCGGAACAGTGAATTGATTCGATTATAGGGTCTGCAAATCTGTGTAGGTGGTATCCGCATGTTTGACTTACTATAGTCGACAACCAGAATATCATGTCTCACAACATTTTCTATAGCTGCATGCATTATGTTAAATTCATATCTGTCTGTTAAGACAGCATTCTATGCTCACACCTTTGGATATTTTTAAAAGCTTCTTATATTAGGAAATGATACATAAAATGCCACCAAATTGCTACGTTCTTTAGTACCTACATAATTTCATATTTAAAGTACGTACCTGCCAGACAACTTCTATTTGAAATTGAGAAACGCCCCCAGAAGTGGTGCAAGACGCACCTACTTCCTATTGTTATTAGATATTCTTCTCAACGACACGTCTCATTTGTCGACTGTCTGTCAGTCAATCATTCACACAAAAACCAGTATAACAGAACCTCCTTGTTTCCTACAACTTCCTCGAAGATATAGATCGTTTGAGAGGTCACGGTAAAATGGTTGTTATTTTTTTCTGGTACACAAGATTAATGTACTGCAATATGTAAGTAGCCAAGGAATAATGACAATAATTTGTTATCGGATGTCCGTTTGAGTTTTAATTACAAAATTCACTTGTTTTTCTGTTGATTAATTGCTTTGCACAACGATCGGCTTCTTTGTAGTATGCCAGTAGGAATTTAAGTGGAAATTGTTTTATTTTTTCTTATGCAATGCTTTGTTGACTTAGTTACTAACTTCTAAATATGGATATACTACACCCTAAAATTGGTTTTTATTCTGGAAATATTGATTAACAGTTTATTGTCTAATACTACCTAACCCATAAATACTTATAGGTTATAGGCAGTGTAGTATAGTGTTCGGAGCGGTAACGGGATCATAGCGCGATCAACATTTAATTATAATAAAATTATTAATAGTCAAAGTTGTCACGTCGCTCGATAGAGGGTGTTAAAATCGAGATAGATCGCGCTATGGTTTCGTTACATCAATTTGGTTAGGTTGCTCGTCAAACCTGACGTTAGCGAGTACAACCAGCGCCCCTAGCGGGAAGAAGTGTATAAAGGAAGAAAATAAAAGTGAAAGTAAAAGTGGTGTTGTGTTGTTTCTCCAAAATCCCTCGCAAGCCGACCCTCTGTCTTCTTCATGGTCCTTCGAGCCGGATGAACTACTCCCGAGAGTATTTTTTGTGCGGTCACGAGTGTCGGGAGTGACCGCAGCCCTTGTGAAAATACTGGATGGTGGGCGGATCCGCTGTCCAGGTCAGCCCCTTCAACCTGGTGAGAGTTGGAGGAGGAGCCGGGTGACCTGCCTCTATGAGCTGAGGCAATCAGATCTGGAGCCACGGTCTTAAGCCGCTTCTTGGAGCTGAGGCAGCTAGGACTAAGGAGGACACCCTGGAGGAGGACGCAAGGGAGGGAAGAGGACATAGAGGAGTGTCCTAATTAATAAGTGAGTGAGTGAGTGAGCAAATGAGGATCTGTGAGTACATTTACAAAATTACATAGGACTTGTAATAGAGATAAAAGGTAGAAAGTTCAAACAAGTCTTGTAATAAATGTGATCCGGAAGCTTGTAATTTTAAAAGTGTTTCTAGAGACTTTAAGTGACTTACTTTATTGGTAGATTTGTGATTATTACTTTAATTTTACATTTCTAAAATTGTTGTTACTGTTATATTTGCTACTGTGTTATTGTTTACAAATAGATATGGAGTCTTACAGCGCTATTCAGGATGACGTTAGGTCTAAGATAATAAAGGCCCGTTCAATAGTTAAAAAGAGTTCAAAAGATCGGCTTACTGCGTCATATCTTGAAACACGCTTGGAAGGTCTAGAACAGTATTGGCACACGTTTTATAATACGCACTCGAAAATAATAACTGAAATTAAACGGTCTGAATTATACAATTCCAGTTATCATAAGGATAATGTGTATGATGAGGTTGAAGAAACGTATGTCCAGTTTAAGAGTGATCTTAAAGAACTGTTGGCTCAATGTAAGACTGATAATACAAGTAGCAACATAGGAAGTAGTAACGTAGGTTGTAATTTTAAGTTACCGGATGTAAAGATACCTGTGTTCTCTGGTAAATATCACGAGTGGCAGACATTTCGGGATTTATTTGTTGGGTTGGTACACAACAATAAGAGGTTAGATGATGCACAAAAAATGTACTACCTCAAGGGATATTTAACTGGAGACGCAGAACTATTGTTGAAAAATGTAAATGTTACTGCAGATAATTATAAGGCAAGTTGGGAAAAGTTGGAATCTATGTATAACAACAAAAGGTTTCTGGCAAATGGTATTTTAAAACGACTTTTTGGACAAAAGGCATTGGTGATAGAATCAGCTACGGAAATTAAAAGGCTGATCAATACAACATCTGACTGTTTAAGTTCACTACAAAATTTGGGTGTCGATGTTTCATCATGGGACTTAATGATAGTACATATTGTTAGTACCAGGCTAGACAGGGAGACTCGGAAAGCATGGGAGTTGCAGATTGCCTCAGACTCAAAAGACGATTTGCCGACTTTTGACCAACTGAATAAGTTTTTAATCAGTCGGTTTCGTGGTCTAGAAAATATGGGAAACAAAATTGAAAACATCTCGAAGCAAACACAATCATTTCATGTAATAAAAGATATTAAAAATAAAAATATTACATGCGAGTATTGTTCCGCAGCTCATAGAATTTCTTCGTGTCCTAAGTTTTGTAAACAGTCAGCAGATAGTCGTAGAAATATTGTAAAAGAAAATAATTTATGTTTCATTTGCCTTAGTAATACTCACTCAGTTAAGTTTTGCAAGAATACTCTCAGGTGTAGGGTGTGTAAACGCCGCCATCATTCTTTGATACATCCCACGGGTGTTTCTGGGTTGGCAGTTAGGGAGAGCAGACCGGCTGCTCTAGAGGGAACCTTATCGGTTAATAAGGTAGGCGGTTTCGTACCAGCGGATAATAAACCTCTGGTCTCATGTCTTTCGACAGGTAATAAGCAAACGGTGCTTTTAACCACAGCTCTGTTAAAGGCCGAATCGAGAAATGGGAAACCCCAGACGGTTCGGGCGTTACTGGACCAAGGGTCACAAGGTTCTTTCATATCGGAATCGATGGTCCAGTACTTGGGTTTAAGGAAAATTCCTTTAAACAATGTGGTATTCGGTTTGGGTGGAGTGAAAGGTGCTACGTCGACTGCCAAGGCAGTTGTCACAATCGGATCGAGGCTCGATCCAAATTTTAAACTGAGGGTAAACGCATACGTATTAAAATCAATTACAGGTCTTATCCCAGCTACTAGTGTAGCCAGAGTAAAAGGGGTAGACATACGCGATAATGAGTTGGCTGATCCAGAGTATTTTAGACCGAATAATGTTGATATTTTATTAGGAGCAGACATATATAGTCATGTTATTCGACCTGGACTAAGGAAAAACGTAGGCGGCACACTATTAGCGCAGAATACTGCTATGGGTTGGATACTGTCTGGGACGGTTGACGTAGAAAATCCTGATATAGATTCTAAGATTATAGTTACACATTCTAGGGCCCTAAACCATATGTTAAGAAAGTCCTATTTGCCAGGAATCTGATAAGATGCAATAGGTATACATACACATATGTGTTATTTAAGATTGTTAACTGTAATTTGGAAGCATTTTATTTTGTTATAGGTTAAAATTTATGTGACTGGTTTAGGGGGTGTTTTATATTCATATTGTTTATTGGTTGATGTTATTGTTTATATACATTGGAACCGCCAAGGATGTCTGGGTATTGGGTTGCCACTCTGGATATGGCAAATATAGCATGGTGGGCAGCATCAAATTAAGGACATTTGTCCAATATGTCCTTGGTGGGCGGCATGTTCGGAGCGGTAACGGGATCATAGCGCGATCAACATTTAATTATAATAAAATTATTAATAGTCAAAGTTGTCACGTCGCTCGATAGAGGGTGTTAAAATCGAGATAGATCGCGCTATGGTTTCGTTACATCAATTTGGTTAGGTTGCTCGTCAAACCTGACGTTAGCGAGTACAACCAGCGCCCCTAGCGGGAAGAAGTGTATAAAGGAAGAAAATAAAAGTGAAAGTAAAAGTGGTGTTGTGTTGTTTCTCCAAAATCCCTCGCAAGCCGACCCTCTGTCTTCTTCATATAGTATGTACACTTATCACCTAATGTAAATTTTTACCTGCATGGGAAATAAATAAATTTTGCGCATAATCTGAATATTTATACGTTCTAATTTTAATTATTATTTAACAATAAAAGTAACACTTTCCTTCTCATAAGCCAGAAGTAAACTAAATGACTACATTCAATTGTAGTACGTACCTACATTAACTCAGTACTTTAAAGCTTCCTCACTCTTTGTCATGCCAGTAGTTGAGAGCAAAAATACAGATTGGCGAACAAAGAGATCTGTTATTGGTGCCCAAGGAGACGGAGCGGGCCTTTGTAGGGCCATCAAGATGCGCACAATAACTGCAATAGATGACATATGTCGCTGGTATTGGTTATAGGTACCTTTTTTAAGGGGGGCAAATAAACCCATTTAACCCCAAGCGGTCGCCGGTGACCGCTCTCCTCTAACATTATACACCTTATTTCCGATGTTTATAGACTACTTTTGTATGAACAAATTTAAGGGAAACAGGCTAAAAACCATCTCATTCCTACTCCTGCTTCGCGTCGAAGCCTCAATAACCTGCCAACTTAACAAAGTTGTCCGCGACTTCAGAGTAATAAGTTCCTAAGATGATGATTTATAAACAACCAAGGATATAGGTAACTTCAAAAGATTTGATTAATAAATTCTTGCATTAATTGTCCTAGGAAATTATGCAACGCCACCTATCCACTGCGATTCTTAAGAAGGTACTTCTCTAGTTTCCGTCTGTACTATATATATTATACGTATATTATTCTGTGTTTCCGTCACATTCACATTCACACATCTTTTTAGGTACTTTTTAGGAAATCTTAACTTTTTAACTACCAATAGATATGCTTGTTTTTTACACCTGAAACACCAAAGGCGTTACAAGTGCGTTACCGGCCTTTAGGGGATTAGGAATTTGCCGCGGAAGACTTAACGGGTTGCCGGGGCTCCGGCTCGAAGTGCAGGAGTAGGAACGGGGTGGTTTTTAGTCAGTAAGAGTCTGACACTGCCTCCCGCCTCACCGGGGCGGGAGAAGTCATTGGATGATTTTCCACCCTCAAAAAACAAAAAAAGGGGATTAGGAATTTGAGGATTATTTGGGAATCAGGGATTGGGGAGATTAGGGAGGAGGAGGAGGCTCCGATAACCTCACTGACACGACGTCGTTTTTCTGTGGCCGAGCCAGGCCATTCGTGCCGAAGCATGGTTCTCCGACACATAAATTCACAATTAATTCCTATTATTATGTTTATTATAAATGTATAAGAAAGTGTTCACACTTTCAATAGTCGTTTATTGAAAAAGTTAAGTAAGTAGGTACTTAAAGGTATAAATAGTTGTTAATCAACACGTTACCAGTTAACAGTGCCTATTAACAGATAAGGATCCTCTTTAAACAATGGCCATTTTATTCATATAATCTAATCGATTAACGTGATTCATAATTTTTATCATTTCATTGTCTACGTATTTGTAGTTCACTACCTGACAAGATGGTCCTTCTATTATTTGTAATATTTGTAAAAGTATGATTACCTACTAAAATATCTACAGTAAATTAAGTTTGAAGTTCTGTTATACTTTTTTTACTGTCGCGGAGAACCTAACGGGTAACCGGGGCTCCGACTCGACGTGCAGGAGAAGGAACGGGGTGGTTTTTAGTCAGTAAGAGTCTGACACTTCCTCCCGCCTCACCCAGGCGGGAGCAGTCATTCGATGATTTTCCCCCCTTAAAAAAAAAAAACTTTTTAACTATTGAAACTATTTGATAAATAATATAAGTATATTAAGTCAGTTTGGGGAAAAATACATACATTCAAACTTTGAAGAAATGAGCGTACCTACCTATTTATACTTACTTACTGTTTTTTAAAAGATCGGCAACAAATTTTAGTACCAACCTCCTCTAGTGGTTTGGGTGTCCAATGGATACCAAGACAGTGTCCATGGGCGACGAAAATCGCTTACCATAATATCCTCGTCTGCCTCCTTAACCATAAAAGGCTCTTTTCTTCGTTTTTATATCTAATGAGGACGTTCACTTTGAACATTCTTTTGTGACGTTGTTAGTTGTTAACCACAAAGTGAATATATTTTTATTGGTCACAAACATAATTATAAATGACAATGGTGTTCAAAAGGTTGATGAACGTACAAAAATAATCACACCTTCATTCATACCGTGACAACGCATTAATTACTAAATGAATTCAATTTTATTTCACAGAATAATGGGATGACCTATTAATACCAAAATACCTTTTACCCGTTTTAATAATTTTTCTTCGATTTTGTGCAGCCTATGCAACTGATTTACATTTTAAAATCTTAGGTAAATCCTGAAAGTACTATTTTCTTTTCGTAGCAAATGTTGCAACACTAATAAATTTTATCTTATCGTTTAAATTATTACAAGTCACCATTAACTTCGTGGATGTTTTCAGATTACCTACTAAGGTTTTTTAAGAAATTATAAAAATATAAAAATAATCACTTGATTGCCAGTGTGTGATACAGAATGGTAAATACATTATCCCCTCTAGCATGGATCTGCCTTCCGGCACACCACAGGTTAATAAACTCGTTTAGATAGTAATTAGGATTCATATTCTTCTTATATAGTGCTCACTTATAATCATCATGATAATTTTCTTATAAAATCTATTTATTTGTTTAATAAATAAATCCGCATAAAATTTTCGCACATCCACAACCTCAACCTTGTTTCTAGGACGGTAGGTGCGAACGAAACAATCAGCAATAATGGTTGATTAGTGTTGGTAATCGAGTAACATCCTCAGCAGTCGGCAGTCGGCAGGTCGGAGCCAGTCAACATGACGAATGGCTGACAGCGCGCCCGTTCAAGAGCAGGACGATTATCGAATTACGTTCCCCACGTGTCGCGTTGCTCTTTCATTTGTCATGGCCACTGCTCTTTCCGCCTCCAGGGAGTTGCCAGATCTGGGTTTCAATGTTTTAAAGGCGTATGTTTTAGCTAGTATGCTTAAAATCTAATGGAAACTCAACGGGATGACTTGCCCTTTGTTAGTAGAAAAAGGATGTTATTTTTAAGAATAAACATAATTAAGTATCTAATGATTTCCTTAATAAAAAAAATTACGTAACCACTGCATTTGTAATGGTACATGGAAAATTATTATAATGCCTTCACCTGAAGATGGAATGTAGAATGTGTCATTCCAAATCATACATGCAGAGCATGATAATGTTTTATTATTTCAATGCGTAATACTCATAATCAACATTTAAGGAAATAGAAGTGACATAATGCGCCTGCGACATACACTCACAAGATAACTACGGATATTACAATACAAGAGTTTTAGAATAGAACTTTAGATGATCATATTTTAATTCCGTTTGTACAAGAAACTATTTTTATTTATTCCACTTGATCAACAATAAAATCCTTACGAATAAAACTTAGCCAAACAAGATCAACAATAAAAAAGATCGGCAATGTGTGCGCGATACGTTACAAACAACAATAGGTTTTTATCAGCCAGGCCAAGTTAAGGTAGGCCCGGTAAGTTAATTTGTCACCTCACTGAATTAACCCCAAAGTTAAAGTCCGAGGTGTATAGACTTGCAGTAAGAATGTCAATTTCAATTTCACAAGTTTTGTTACTAGTCCTCCATGTTCATTCAGTTCTAAACTCCGATTGGCTTCCGTAGCTAATAATTATGATTAACAATAAAAAAGTACCCAATATTAAAACCGAGAAACTGCTAGTTTAATCAAAAACAGTTGTGTTTGCGACCACCAACATTGTAGGTCCGGACACAAACACGTCAAATTTCAACCTTATCATTTTCTACTAAGGCTGTTAATAAAATAGAACCTAATTATTGTGTATCTAACACAAAAAAGTACAATTACAGAATAGTTTCAGCTGTGTATATGGCAGCACATTATCCGGACTGAGCATTGCATCCTGCCGACCGTGACAAAACGACCGGGATGGTGTACCATACAATTGAGGCTTTTACCTTTATTGGAGTGAACTATTTCCTTTCAATGAGCAAAGTTAGTTTAAATGTTTATGTAAGGCTCAATGCATAAAAGTTGTAGGTCACTACTACTAGATAAAAAAACAGTAATTAAAAACCATGTAAGGTTCTTCAAACTTTGACTGTACCAGAAATTTCGAAACAGGTGAATGAGGTTCAGAATTGGGTAATTAAAACTGCAATAAAAATAATATTTTTCCGCTACAACCAGACGTCTATTACATACATGCATCATTATTTAATAGTATCTTATAACATACCTATTTACATTATAATCATATCTCATTTAACAGACTGTAAACTTGTAAAGTTTCATACGCCATCAAGAGAAAATCTCATATTTTATCTTTTTATACAAATATACGCAAAGATATTTATGCGGAAGAATGGCTATATCAGTTACTGTTCAACCAGAGAGTTATCACATCATAATAATGATACAATTTCGCAGTTGTTATTGAAAAATAAAATTACTTAGCAAAATGGAATTATCTGAAAAGGAACAACTATGTAAACTAGACGAAGTGGAAAGGGGGTCATTGAACGACAGCCACAAACATCGACTGTGCAGGTCAGTGAAACAATAAAAATATTTTAGATGAGTACATATACATAGCTACCATTGTACAGCTGTTTAGATACATAAAACTGTCGTGGTTTCTTTACAGAAATAGTCAAAGAAGAAAATCAGGAAGGAGAAAAACTGAACGCGTCGTCTTCAAAACAGGACAATTCAACTTAGAAAAATGGAAGAACTCGAAATATCGTGTGTTTCCAGACATCGTGCAAGCACTCATCGATGTTCAGTGGCGATGGACGATTGTGTACAGCATCCTCACATACATCATCATTTGGCTGGCCTTCACAGGAATTTGGTGGATTATCCTAGAGATGCATGGTGACTTCGAACCAGACCACTTGCCACATGTTGCGAATTCCACCTGGGAGCCTTGTGTCCGAGAAATCTATAGTTTCACGTCCCTCTTCCTCTTCAGTATTGAAATCCACACCACAATAGGTTATGGTGGCAGGTCAATCACATTGGAATGTCCTTCTGCAATGTTTACAATGTGCATCGAGAGCATACTCGGTACTATCACTCAATCTTTCATCGTTGGCATAGTATTCGCCAAATTGACAAGGCCGAAAAATCGAGCACAGACGCTGTTATTCTCGAAGAACGCCATCATCAACCAAAGAGATCGCAATCTACGTTTGATATTCAGGGTCGGGAATACTAGGAAGTCAAGGATCATAGCTGGCAACGTCCAAGCTTATTTAATCAGGCATAGTTCTGTGGATGTGTTGGAGAACCAAATAAAATTGTGTCTGTCCATGGACTCCAGTGAGAATATTTCATTCATGTTTCCTGTCTGTGCTGTACACACGATAGATGAAGAGAGTCCGTTTTATTCAATGTCCGCTTCTGATATAATAAAAGCAGATATGGAAATCCTCGTAGTGTTTGAAGGCACCATAGAATCGACTGGCCAGCCTGTCCAAGCGAAGTCGAGCTACACCACACAAGAAATTTTATGGGGACATCGCTTCATTGAAATGGTCGAGTACAGGAAAGAAAAGCACGGTTTTCTTATCGATTATGCAAAGTTCAATGAAACCTATCCTGTCAGTACACCACTGTGTTCAGCGAAACAACTTAATAATTTTTATGAACATAATTTAAGGAAATTAAAAGATAATATTCGTTGACCTTACTGTATTATTATCTCGGCTTCTTTAAATGTGGATTTAAAAGGACGATTATTTCTCTCAGTTCCATTAGATCTTGATGCATTGTCTTCATTGAAGCGATTTCCCTCTCAAGTGCAGTTACCATTAACTTCACTGCTACTAACTGTGCTCCGCAGGTTCGCAAGTCCGCGTCAAATTTCGAAAGCAATTTTTGATTTGTTTCACATTGTTCTTTGAAATATTGTTTTATAAAGTCAGTCATTGCTCAATAATTTTGTTCACTTATCTCAAACACTTTTTTACGTCCGAATTAATACATTTAACTCTAGAACAAATTAATGTGGTGTTCAAATCTGTTTACAAACAACAAAACTGACGTAAAGTTGGAAATTAAGTAGGTAAGTGTTTTATCTTCTCCGTTCTTGGTAGTCGGTTGGTACTTAAGGTGTGTCAGTGCTGTGATAAGATTTTAGAACCGCATGACACAAACCCACTTCAAGGTTGTTATAATAAACAGTGTCAACGATACCTGTACCTACTATTTATTTTTACTACATGTAGAAAATTAAGAATTTACTGGGACATTTTATGCCTTTTAGCCGCGAGGGGTACCTAGTGATATGGTAAGTAGTGATGCGCTTAATGTCACGTAGGTACCTATCTACTATAACTATTTTATCCCAAATGAAGAGGAAGATAAGGAAGCCCAATAATATCTGCCTAACTCGTTAATTGATCCAAACACTTATTTGGCAGTCGCATTTGGGACCACTCGACCAATGAGGCATCATTTGTCTATTAAAGATTATATTATAAAAGCTACAACAAGCCTTTCAATTTTCTCCTAAGAGAAGAGGTTCAAAGAGGAATACCTTTTTTTTATTTGATGGGCGGACGTTTGACCACCGTCTCGCCTGGTGGTAAGCGATGTATGTAAGTTTTTAGATGAGCTAGATACAATAAATATGTCTTTGCCATGTAGAAATTCAAAAACACACGCTCTATAGTCGCATTAATTTTACGAAAGTTCCACCAATGAGGTATTATAGACATCAACACCCTTCTACTTGGGATTACCAGTCTTTTTCCAAACACTTATTTTGAAATTACCGGTAAATACCTGAAAAAAACAAGCACGTGGTCTATGGTTATTAGGATTGCCAATTAATAAATTAAAATTAAGACAACACGCCTTTTATACTTTTAAGTTATTAATTTTGAGTTATTTGTATTTTTAATAGTTTTAATTACAAATTTTATTTATTTATTAATAATGACTAATGAAATAAAAAAACCGTAAAATCGATTCATCATTATACTCTACGTCAAAACCACACCTTAAATTAGTATTGCCAACATTCGTTTTAGTATATGGCTATTTTTTAAAGTTACAACCCTCTTATTAATGACGTTCACTCATGCCAACATTCAGAATAAAAAATAAAAAATGACAAAAGTGTGCTGTCATTTTTCTGTCCATCGAATCATTATCAATCACTGTTGATTTTCTAAAACAAAAGTTTATTATTGCGTTTCATACGAAAAGATGTTTCGAGCTAATAATTTTGATAAGTTGCTTGGTGAGTATCTAAATGTGCAATTTGTTTTGTATTATACCATCGCGTTCTTACGTCTACAACAAAAATTACGTTCGTTGTCACAATTGTAGGCAATTTTCTCTGATTAGCATTTAGCTTTCTTTATTTTTTCCCAAAAATTGTCTAATCTTAACGGTACAATTAGCGGTTGTGACTCACGAGTTTTCCCGTAGCAAACAATGAACGTCTCATTATCAATACCTATGATGAATATACTAGTATAAAATGGTGAAATAATTTGTTCTAGATAAAGCTACAAGTAATCTACGCCTGGATCCCGATTGGCCGACTATCCTACAAATATGTGATTTGATTAGACAGAATGATTGTTCGTAAGTACAATAGTGATTAGTTCATAAACATTATTTATAAGATCAAAACATGATGTACCTATACACAGGTGTAGTGACCCCTAAAAGCTCCAGTAGAAAGTTGTTCAACTTTGGAATGATTATACAATTACCAAGTAGAATACATCAGGAAAACATTTAGTAAAGAAATTGTTTATTAAAAAAATTACATCATCAATCAATATTCAATAACAATCAGTTATTGACACTGTTTTGTACACAACTTGGAGATAATTATGTGTAAACTGTATGAAAAAATATGGCTATTTATTGGCCTAATGACTACACATTATGAGTGATAAATGGATGCATATTATTTTTGAAACAATGTTTTGATGCTGTGTATAATACTATTAACCTTTTGAACGCCAGAGCAAAAACACATGAACCTGCCTTCGACACCAAGCCACAAATTCCACGCAAATTTCTACGAAAGAAATAGGAATTATTGGAATCCCTATTGTATCAACAATAGGGATTCCAATAATTCGTGTTTCTGGTTCCGCTTTTTCTGTCATGTATTTGTGTCGTTGACGTCCAGGGACAGTTTTCGCTTGTCGCGTATATGTGACATTGGCGGTCAAAGGGTTAATATTTTTAGTTAAGGCATTGGCTGCCAATAAAAAACTGTTGAAGGCTAATCCTCCGCTAATGTCGGTCACCAGTGACTGCCATGGCGTTTAACGTGTTAAACTAATTAATTGATAGCTAAGCAAACTTATTTTTAATAGAATTTATAAGTGTAAATATTTAAAATCTTGTGTAAACCAACTATAGATAATAAAGAATGTCATAATGACAAAGACAGTAAGAAATATCTTGCAATCAAATATTTGTTAGCACTTATAGTATGTTTACAATATACAATACAGTTTAATTATTCCTATCATCTATTAATCAATCAGGTTCATTTATTGATTTCATACATAATTCTAGTTAAGTTCCACTCTAAGTTAAGTGATACCTTGATACTCAAGATTTTTCAAATAAAACAAAAAAGCAAAACAAGACATCTCCTAAGTTTAGATTTCAGAATATGATGTACTCGGAACTAGTGTTCATCTGTATAATAATTGTTACAGACCAAAATATGCAGTGGCAGCAGTCAAAAAGAAACTATACTCCTCAAACCCCCACCAAGCTATGTTTGCACTGCTTGTCCTCGAGAGTATTGTCAAAAATTGTGGTAAGTAAACATTAAATGCTTTGAACATAAATATCTTATTAGAAAACCAATATTTAATTAGAATGTTGATTATGTTGTTATTAGAATGGTCAAATATTTTTTTCTTATGACACATTTCAATTAATAAGAACAATACACAATCTTTATAACAAACTTAAAATAAAACTGTTATTAAGTTCTTATAAAATAGACTTCATGATTTGCATACTTCTAGATTGTAAAAAATATTGATTAAAGATTTACTTGTATATTTGTCCACAAAATAAACTTCTGCTGGAAAATTACAGGCAGATTATTAGCTGAACCTGTAAGATTACTTAAAAAATATATTATAAGATTATGAATAACTAATATTATTAAATATTAATTTAGTCTTGATCCAGTTTTTTACCTCTGACACTCAACTAAATGACCTGCTTTGCTACTAGGCTCTGGAGTTCATGATGAAGTGACATCTAAAGCATTTTGTGAGATGCTCCGTGACCTTGTGAAGACCACACAACACGAAAATCTTCGAAACAAGATCCTTGAATTGATTCAAGCTTGGGCTTTCGCATTCCGTAACTCACCAAAATACAGATCTGTTCAGGTATGAATAAAATTTATAATAATCAAGTGAATGTTGAATAGACATATGAATTATGATAATATTATAATTAAATTAAAGTAGATAACTTTGACTAAGCTAACTAACATAGGTGCGTAACTGTGAATGAGCTAACATGTGAATTTGGCAAAATAATTTAAGTATATCATAGTGCCCTGGGGATGACCTATTGAACAAATGATCAGTATGCTCATTGCAAGCCCTATTAAACTGTCAAACACCAAGCGGTCACCAGTGACCAGAACCTATTGTTCTATAAGTGTGTCTATAATGACGGTACTCGACGAGTTAAATTTTCATAGAAAAGGAATAAGTACTAAATTCGTAGCATAAACCATGACTTAATGTGTTGAGCATTTGAGCATATTATTTTCTGCTAAATATGCTAAAAGTCAGATTAGCAGTTTCTAAGAGGTGTAAACTTTTAAGAATAGTCACTAAACATTACTGTCACAGTTCACTGAATTTTAGTTTTCATGTCTGGTCCCAAGGTTAAACAACACAGTTCTTTGCAATATTGATCTGACCACACCTATAATTGAATTATGTCATGCTTTTATGTAATTACCACACTAGCAGTTTAGTATACCTAGAGTAAAGTGTAAGTGTGATCTATCACTTGCTACAAAGTTAGCATATAAGTATACAGTATACATTAACAGGAGTAACTACCAGCCATGTAAGCGCTAATTTAATTAAATCTAATCAGACACTGCATGACAGTATATTCAAATAAATTGTTCTGTTTACATTGTTGTGTGGTAATGTCAATGTCCTATGGAGAAGATATGTGTTTTATCTCTAGTGATATGCCCAGAAATTGTATTTCTATACATGGTATTTTTTAATACAAACAGTAAATGTGTATGTTCTAATATTAGTAGTTTAAACAAGCTCTAGGTAATTAAGTATTGATTTATTAATTACCCATTCAAACAGTCCTTTACAATCGGTTTCCATGCGGGCGCACATGCCATCTACCTACGTATATACGAGTATATCCGTATATTGTATAGCAACGTATTATAATATGTACCTGTAAGCGCCGCGTCACATGTTATCAGTCAGACGCGGTATGATTCATAATCTCATGAAACAACATAAACAGTTTAATGTAGTGACGCTCTTTTGTGCTAAGGTTTCTTTTCAAGTCTGCTTAGAAATTGTGTAATTAAAAGGAAAGTGTAAAATTAAATACTGAATTAAGTTGTAATTTTCAGTCAGTATAGAGCAAAAGCCAGTAATATTGTATTGTGAAGTATAGTGATTGTGCTTAATCATAGTGAAGTTAATGTTGTGGTTTTTGTACATAGGATACTGTGAACATTCTGAAGGCTGAGTGTTACAAGTTCCCTCCACTCAAGGAGTCTGATGCAATGTTCTCCGCCGATACCGCACCAGAATGGGCAGATGGAGAAGTTTGCCACAGGTATGATTCATTCTAGTTTTTACTGCACAACATATATTTAGTAGATAAAATTTATAAACCATTGGCCTTTGAAGCAACTATACAACAAAGAGTTTGATGTTTTCCTTTTTTCCTTGTTGTTTTTATTTTGTTTTTCCTGCTACCATTTTAACAGATACATTTTAAACTATTAGTTTTAAAATACAGTTTTTCTGCTTGATTATCAGATGTCGTGTGGCATTTTCGTTGATGGTAAGGCGACATCACTGTCGTGCATGCGGTCAAGTGTTCTGCCAACAATGCAGTGCAAAGCAATCAACCCTGCCCAAGTATGGAATTGAGAAGGAGGTAAGATATTCAAAATAGACACTGGAGACTATTTAGAAAAAAACCTTTTCTTTTAAATTATAAAACACTAGCGGACCCGACAGACATTGCACATCCACTTGAATGTATAAACAAAAATTCATTCAAATTAGTTCAGCCATTTAGGATAACTAACTTAGACATCAACTGCAGCACCATCTGCCGGGCTGATTTGTGAATCTTAAATCATCCAGGGCGCCACTCAAACACACAGATAAATTCATTTAAATCAGTCAAGCCGTTTAGGAGGAGTTCAATGACATACATGCATACAGCAGACATATATAAAGATAGTGATTCAAGTTTTACACAGGCAGGTTTCAAGATGTTTTAAGAATATGTTTGATGCAGCTTTTTGTAACTCTAAGATTATGAGTCTTATGATCATTATTTTGTTGGTGTACAATAACAATGAATGCATTCACATTTTTGATATCAAAATGTCTACAGTAAATTATTACTACAGTTAGTTTATTATAACGCATCATAAATCTAATATAAAAAGAAATTATAAAAACAATAGTATGTAATGTAGTTAACAATAAAACCTTGTACCCAATTTTAAATTCATTTCTACTTGAATATATCTGAACAAAAGATGTTATTATTAGGTGCGAGTCTGTGATGCTTGCTATGATAAAGTAAGCCGACCACCACAGTCCACTACCAAGCTGGAGATTGTTGACACATCTAACGACTATGGACCTTCTGTGCAAACACAGGTAAGTCACTTTTTGCATTAATTTTAACCACTGTCTTATTAAGAGACAAGCAATAAATCCGACTGTTGGGAATGTTAGGTTATTGTCTCATGTTAATATTGACTGATTATAAACAGTGGTTTGTACATGAATTTACATTTTTTGTTGTATGATAACAAGCAATGTTGAGGGTAAAACTTTGTTGAGAACAACACAATGAAATAAGACACTTGTTACACTTATAAATACTTTATTTATAAATTATATTGCTAATCACTATCCGTCGTAAGAATCACCCGGCATTTCGCCACCAGGCACCAGCATTGCTATGTTGTTTCCATTCAGTAAGATTTGATCTAGTTTGGTTATTTTTCTACCTTCTGGCGTGGATTCATATTCCGTTACATCGTCCAGTAACATATTGACGAAATCGTCGAAACCTTGTAGTGTGCCGACCATTTCTTTATCGTTTTTCATGATGATATGAATCCGGGAACCAATACATTTATCCACAAGTTCGAGAGGTAACAATGTGTTAGGATTAGGCAGCGATGTTTGTGTCATTTTGAAAATTTAGTTTTGTATCGTGATTACCACTTTAATGTTTGTTATTTTGGTAAAACTTTCTTCTCTCACAATCTTATTCAACTTAGCACAAAAGTAAAAAACACGGGCACGCTATCTTTCCGTTTCGTGTGATAATGACACAAGCAATTTCGTTTAGAAATTACTTCAGTGTGAACAAGTAAAAGAAAAATATTATATCGCTTCAATTATAGGTTAGGTTTCATGTTTTCTTTAATTGAATATTTACGATATTTAAATTCACAAATGGAAATATAAGCAAAATATTTATTTAGAAATTAAATATTACAAGGCTAATAAAATTTCTTTTATTCTGCGACTTTGTGACATTTCCGAACGATTTCAAATTGTTGCCACATCAGAAAAAAGATATTAAATTGTAGGAAAAATATTTTGTTTATGCAGAATTAGTAATTTCTCAAGTAATCAAATTATAATTATTTTAAAATAAAAAAATATTTAGCCATATTTTAAACGGATATTAAATGGGTTTCAAAGTTAATACAGTATCACTTAAGTAACCCATAGGAATATGCCATGATTACCAGGAATTAGCTTTTGTATTGTATGCTTTGGTTATTTTATTTAATCAATATAATGTACTTGCGCAAAGTTATACAGCTTTTATATAGCCAAATATTTTTTAACTTGATAATTATTTTCCTTAAAACTTTGGGGTAAATAAAATTTTGTAATGGCAATACTTGAAACGTCAAGTTTGAAAGTTGAGTTTGTTTCTTGCATTTGAAAATAACGATTCTGAAACGTACGAAGGAAAATACTATAATTTGTTTTGTTTTACATGAAACTGTAGTTTTGTGGGAATAATGGCTAAAAATGTGACGAACTTTCGCGGTGAAATCTATTTCACTCCAAATGGGAAATTACACATCAAAGACGAACCTGAAACTCCTATTGAAAACGACTTTGGCGAACACAATAACCTGGATTACTTTTACGAACATGGATTCGACAATATGAGAAAATCTATGTCTATGAATGACATTGCTGCTCTTCGAGAAGATCTTGTGAAGTTAGAGTTCCACGATAAAGAAGATATGTATCATAGACATCGTAAACCTTCGGGTGCACCACATGAGTTATCAAGAACTAAGTTTGTGTCAATGGCTGAAGCCATTTACCATTATCAGAGAGATACGCCAGGTCGTTTTCATTCGAAGCGACCGCAAATATTCCGTTCTCAAAGACCTACTGGACCATCGGGTCTCACTGTACCTCAGTCGCCTATGCTTCGATCAAAAACCCGCTCAAGACCAACACATATCATGTCACAACAAGAAAGAGAAGAAATGGAACTTGAAGAAATAAGAAAGCACAAAATAAAAGCAAATCCTATTCCTAAGTCTGTTATAGAAGGAACTAAAAACCTTCCTGAAGTTTTAAAGAAGCCTATCACAGTGCCTGAGCCTTTCAAGTTGACTGAAATACAAAAGAAGGCTGCTCAATCTACTGATGACATTCCACAATTCAAGGCTCGACCAGCTCCTAAACACATATTAGAGAAACCACAGGTACCAGTGAAACTTCCAGTACATGTGACCAAGCCTGTGAGTCCCAAATTCCGCTACAAAAGAGCAAATTCTGCTGACCAACTAAGAAATGATAACATGCTTCTAATGAAATCTCACCAAAAATGTGAAGAAAAGCATCATCCTAGAACAGGCCCAGTAAGACCTGAACCATTTTCATTTGAAAAAAGGGATGAAGAACTGAGGCGTCGCAGAGAAGAAAGAATCAAGCGTCAAATTGAGGAAGAACGAAAACAAGCTACTTTATTTAAAGCACAACCAGTTCCTGGAGCTGTCAAAAAAAGGATGCAGTGCTCTGCACCCAAGGGCAGCTCATCCACCACTTCTTCAGAAAACAAAGAGAATAATGTTAAGTTTGAAGCTAAGTTACCGGTTGTACTGTACAAGGAACCATTCAAGCCTATCCTTCAACCAGTGCAACTAAAAAAACCTGCGCCCTTTGAGCTTACTACTGAGAAGCGTGCTGCTGAAAGAGAAAAGTTTGAGAAGCAATTAAAAGAAAAGGAGGAAGAACAGGAAAGAATGAGACAAATGAAGGAAAAAGAACAACAAGAAGCTGAGGAAAGAGCAAGGGCAGAGTTAAGGGCCAAGTTAATTCATCATCCAAAGCCTGCTCCTAAAACAGGAATCGTACCATTTGTTCCAGAAAAATCTGTTGCACCGCTCACTGTGCCAGAGACACCCAAGTTTGTGAGGCGCCTCAAACAACACTAATATAACCTGATCTGTTCAATTTGAATTATTTACATTTTAATGTTGTTAAGATATTCCTTACAACTAAATTATCATGTTTTGGATCCTGATATCATAACTGTACTGACATTGTAGTTTTTATTGACATTTCTTATTTGTTGCTTAGGACTTAGATTTTATTTAAATTGATGTTTTCCTAGATGATATTTGGTAATAAATGTACGATTTTCTGTATAATAAAGTTATCTTTAATTCTTAATACTGTTTTCTTTGTGTTGGTGTAACCTCAATTCACTGATTATATGACTCCAAGCAAGATAACGCCAATTGAGTTCAATTAAATACGTCATGAGATGTACATTTGATGTTTTTATATTTCGTCGTGTCTGAACTGTGACTAACTATGATTAAAAAAAATTAAAATTTAATATAAAGATTTAATTTAGAAATCATTCATCCTCTCTGAGAAAAATCCAGTTACAGTATCTCAATATAAAATTATACCTTCTAATTTCCGATGGGATAGATAGGCAGAAGTGTGCATATACAAATTAATTAAAAGTTTACAAAACTAAAGAAGCTTTCTATTAGATGGAAACACTGAACTTATTTCAGGCTCCATGCTATATTACTCAAAGACAACTTTAGTGGTCCTCATAGCAAATTTTATACTTCAATCCAATATATTTTTCATACTAAGATTCAAATTTTCTAGTAAATAGTTTTTTTACATATCAGAAACGAACTGGTGGCAAGACAGCGGAGGAGTTGCAAGAAGAAGAAGAGTTACAGTTGGCCCTTGCACTCAGCCAATCAGAGGCTGAGCACAAAGAGAAAGAACGCAAGTCACGCTCCCACATCGCGCCAGAGCCTTCGTCTCATCACCCAACTTGTAAGTACTACTTATGGTGTAATTAATTATTTACCAGGTTTATACAAAATTAAAGGGAATCTTATAGGGGTAGATGAAGGTGTGAGCCATACACCTTCACCTATCTGTACAGGTTACACAACTTATAAGGTATGTTAAATGTTGGTCTAAAACTTTGTTTGACTGCACGTTTGGCGCGGTGGCTGGGTAACTGGTTGCCACGCAAATTGTTGCGGGTTCGATTCCCGGATGGAACAACTCTTTGTGTGATCAACAGATTGTGGTTCAGGGTCTGGGTGTGGTATACTAGTGCGGGAGAGTTTAAAAAAAATTCATCAGAAGGTACCTAGCAAAAATATCTTAGATTGTCTAGGAACACATAAAACTTTTGTTTCCTAATGGTGTAAGCATGCGTGCTTTTGTTACATAACAGCCGCTTACTTGTCATAATAACGAAATAATTCTACAGTATCTCCAACTCCATCGTCCGTGAGTGCATCCCCGGAACATAGCACGCAAGCCAACTCCGAGCTGTCGCGGTACTTGGACCGCAACTACTGGGAGCAGCGGATAAACCGCGATAGCACTGTGGCGCCCACTGCACCTGCACCAGCGTCACATGCCTCCGATACTACTGAGGTAAAACATAAATGTTCTGTGATACGTCACTACGCAAATTTTGTAGTCAGATATTATTTGAAAAATTGGGCTATAAAAGTACCTGTTAAGTTATTTTGTCTATGTAATATACAATTTTATCACAACAGTACAATATGTATAACAATAGGTATTTATTTAATGTTTGCAGGAATTCCCAAAGCCCTCGACAGCAAAGGCTCAAGATGAGGATGCTGAGGACAAAGAAATTGATGAATTTGTTGAGTCACTGAAATCTCAAGTCGAAATATTCGTTAACAGGATGAAGAGCAACTCGTCACGGTTCAGTATTTCTTAATAAGTTCTTTAAATCTGGATTATGTAGGTACATTATGTTTACAATTAATAACCGACACCTACTCTGTATTACAGTGGACGTTCCATCGCCAATGACACTGCTGTGCAAACATTATTCATGAACATCACCGCCATGCATTCACGTCTGCTGCGCTACATTCAGCAACAAGACGATAAGCGTGTCTACTTAGAGAGCTTACAGGTAAGCATTTCATTGGATATTTATGATTTCAACATCATATTCGGTGCTATCTATCTAAGTACTAAGTAGTCTAAACTTGAATTAATTTGCTGTTTGTTAGGACAAAGTGACTCAGATCCGCGACAGTCGCGCGGCGCTGGACACCTTGCGCGCGGAGCACACGGCGCGCCTGGCCGCCGCCGCGGAGGCCGCCGAGCGACAGAGGCAGATGCAGATGGCGGCTAAACTGCAAGCTATGAGGAAGAAGAAACACGAGTACTTGCAGTATCAGAGGCAACTGGCATTGCAGAGAGTTCAGGTAATTACTAAATGACTATTAGGTTTGCACTGATTTAGAAACTTATTTTTCCCACATATTGTAATAAAATATCATTCTCTCGTTTCAGGAACAAGAAAGAGAAATGCAAATGAGGCAAGAGCAACAGAAACACCAATATTTAATGAATGCTAATAATTTTTATATGCCTGGTGTTTCTATGCCACAACAGTTCCAAGCTGGTTATCCAAACCAGTCAATTTATGGAAACCCACAATACCTTTCACAAATGATGCCACAAGCAACTACAGACAGTAGTGTTCCAGTGCCTGTGCCAGGACAAACACAAATGTCAACAGCGAATATGCCAATGAGCATGAATCCAATGGCAACTATTCAGTCCATGCCACAGTTAACAAATACTTTTGCAGCTCTTACCACATCTGCTGGTGGTGTCAACCCAAATTCTGTCAGCGCTCAACCGTCCATGAATCAATCTAACTTAAGACCCAACCTAACTCAACAATTACCACTTCAACAACAAATGATGCTGCAGCAAATGATGCGCATGGGTGCGCCAGGTGCCATACATTCCATTGTA